GTTTTGAGTGTGGTGATACAAGGCATATCATGAGAGATTGTCCCAAACTTCGGATGAGTGTACCTCAGCAGGGTACTCAAGCTATGATTTTCGCTCCAGATGATACTCCATCTGCACAACCAGTTATAGGTGGAGGACAGGCGGGTAGAGATCGTCCTAGAGGGGGAGGCTAGGCCTATTGATATGCTTTAGATGGTGGACTAAGGCAGTCGTATCAGATGTAGTCGTTACAGGTATTTTTCCGATTTGTTATAGAGATTCTTTATGTTATTTGATTTGGGTTTTACTTATTCGCATATGTCGTCCTACTTTGCTTCATATTTGAATATGACTTATAATTCTTTGGATTCTCTTATTTATTATATACACCCATTGGGAATTCTATTGTGGTGGACCGTATCTACCGTTCTTGTGTGGTTTCTATTAGGGGCTATGAGACTAGGGTTGATCCTTTATTGCTTAATATGGTAGATTTTGATGTGATTTTGGATATGGATTAGTTATCTCCGTACCATGCTATTCTTGATTGTCACGCTAGGACCGTGATATTGGCTATGCCGGGATTACTGAGGTTGGAATGGAGAGGTTCCTTGGATCGTATTACTAGTAGGGTGGTTTCCTTTTCGAAGGCTCAATAAATGGTTGAGAAGGGGTGTTTGGCGTACTTATCCTTTGTTAGGAATGTCAGTGTTGATACTCTTGCAATTGATTCAGTCCCCGTAGTGAGAAAGTTTCTTGATGTATTCCCTACAAACCTCTCGGGCATGCCACTCGATAGGGATATTAATTTTGGTATTGACTTGGAACCAGGCACTCAGCCCATACCCGTTCCACTATATCGCATGGCTCTATCAGAGTTGAAAGATTTGAAGGAACAATTGCAGGAATTGTTAGATAAAGGTTTCATCAGGCCGGAATTTTCACCTTATGGTGTGCCGGTAGTGGTTCCATAAGTATTTACTACTCGCCTTGATGATTTATTTGATCAGCTTCAGGGTTCTAGGGTGTTCTCCAAAATTTACTTGAGATCGGGGTACCATCAGTTGAAGATCAGGGCGACATACCTAAGATGGATTTCAAGATCCGTTATAGGAATTATGAGTTCTTGTTGATGTCTTTTTGTCTGATTAATGCCCTAGCAGCCTTCATGAATTTGATAAATAGTATGTTCCAGCCCTATTTATATTCCTTTGTCATCGTGTTCATTGATGACATCTTGGTATATTCCCATAGAAGGGAGGAGCATAAACATCATTTAAGGTCGTTGCTTCAGGTTCTAAAGGAGAAGTTATATGCCAATTTCTCTAAGTCAGAGTTTTGATTGGATTCGATGGTATTCTTGGGCCATGTGGTGTCTAGTGAGGGGATTAAGGTGGATCCGAAGAAGATTGAGGCAGTTCAGAGTTGGCCCAGACCTTTTACCGCTCTAGAGATCTAGAGTTTCCTAGGATTGGCTGGGTATTATCGACGCTTTGTGGAGGGATTTTCATCTATTGCAGCCTCGTTGACTAAGTTGACTTATAAGGGTGCTCCATTAGGTGGTCTAGCGAGTGTGAGGAAAGCTTTCAGAATCTCAATACTGCATTGACTACAACTCCAATGTTAGTGTTGCCTTCGAGATTAGGGTATTATACAGTTTATTGTGATGCTTCGCTTATTGGTCTCATATGTGTGTTGATGCAGGATGGTATAGTGATTGTCTATGCTTTGCATTAGTTGAAGCCCCATGAGAAGAACTATCCAGTGCACGATTTTGACTTAACATCTATTGTGTACGCACTCAAGATTTGGAGGCATTACTTATATGGCGTGTCTTGTGAGGTGTATATGGATTATTGGAGTCTCCAACATCTGTTTAAACAGAAAGATTTGAATGTGAGGCAGCGGAGGTGGTTGGAGTTATTGAAGGATTATGATGTCACTGTTCTCTACCATCCGGGGAAGGCCAATATAGTGGTAGACGCCTTGAGTAGGAAGGCGGAGAGTATGGATAGCTTAGCATTCCTTCTAGTTAGGGAGAGGCCTTTAACTATGGACGTTCAGGCGTTGGATAATAGATTAGTGAGATTGGATATTTCATAGCCGAGCATAGTCATTGCTTGTGTTGTGTCTCGGTTGTCCTTTTTTGAGCGCATTAAGGCTCGTTAGTATGTTGATCCCCACTTACTTATCCTTAAGGACACGGTATAGCGCGATGATGCTAAGGAGGTGACTATTGGTGATGATGTGATGATGGGGTATTGCGACTTCAAGGTCGAGTTTATGTTCCTAATGTCGATGGCTTGAGAGAGTTGATTCTTGAAGAGGCTCATAGTTCACAGCATTCCATTCATTCAGGTGATACGAAGATGTATCGTGACTTGAAGCAGCATTATTAGTGGATGAGGATGAAGAAGGACATTGTTGGACATGTTTCTAGGTGTTTGAATTACCAACATGTCAAGTATGAGCATCAGAAATCGGGTGGCTTGCTTCAAAAGATTGATATATATGAGTGGAAGTGGGAGCACATTACTATGGATTTTGCGGTAGGGTTGCCACTGACTTAGAGGAAGTTTGATACCATTTGGGTCATTATGGGTTGGTTGACCAAGTGGGCGCATTTCATTCTGGTCATGACTTCCTACACTTTGGAGCAGTTGGCTAAAATCTACATTAGAGAAATCATTTGCCTGCATGGTGTACCCATTTCTATCATTTCATTGCGTGTTCCGTTTACATCGCACATTTGGAGGGTGGTTAAGCATGAGTTAGGCACGTAGGTTGAGTTGAGTACTGCATTTCATCCTCAGATGGACGGGTAGTCAGAGCGGATCATTCATATCTTGGAGGATATGTTGAGGGCACGCACTATTGATTTTCGAGGTCAGTGGGACCGGTTTCTACCTCTACTGAAGTTTGCCTACAACAACAGCTATCAATGTAGTATCCACATGGCTCCGTATAAGGCATTATATAGTAGGCGGTGTCATTCTCTGGTTGGTTAGTTCGAGCCGATGAGGCTAGGTTACTAGGCACATACTTGGTCCGTGATGCTTTGGAGAAGGTGAAGTTTATTTAGGAGAGGCGTCTCATAGCCAGTCCAAGCAGAAAAGTTATGCAGATCGGAAGGTTCGTGATGTGCTTCATGGAGGGCGAGAAGGTTCTTCTTAGTGTTTCGCCCATGAAGGGTGTGATGAGGTTTGGGAAGAAGGGAAAGTTGAGCCCGACGTTTATTGGTCCTATTGAGGTGTTGGAGAGAGTTGGCAAGGTTGCTTATAGACTTGCTTTGCCTCTTAGTCTTTCGGGAGTCCATCTGGTATTCCATGTTTCTATGCTTTGGAAGTATCATAAAGATAAGTCCCATGTTTTAAATTTCAGCACAATGTAGTTGGATAGAAATCATGCTTATGACGAGGAACCGTTGGCCATTTTGGATCGGCAGAGTCAGTAGCTCATGCAATCATAAATATCAACGATATATCATACTTAGGATGCTACAAAACGGGGGGAAATTCACATATGTCGGTGCAGTAAGGGTCGCCCAATTTGTATCCTCTTATTGCTTGACTAAATGACGAGGTATTTAATGCGATGGTCACATGTATCATTTCAGTGTGCCATCGTGATTGCTTATAGAAGCAAGAAATGAATCAAAATACTCTAACTAGTACATTTACCAGGTAAGTTAATCATTTTTGCTCTTTTCGTTCCATTTTATATGAAGGTGGTTAACTCGGTACAAAATATGAGATCTCAAGAGCATATTTGACATGTATGCTAATTATGTTAAAATATCTTATTAAATGAGTGGCGGTGAGAGTTCCACGTATTTTTTTCTCTCTTCATAAGAAAGTGACTTTTATATCACGTGGATATGTCATTGCATTAAGGTAAAATGGGGATGCTAAGAGTAAATAGTTTCAAAACAGGGAAAGATCTCATTCTTTTCCTGGGAGATTATAAACTAAAGTGTGTCATATAAAATGGAACGTAGAGACTCAAATCAAGTAAACTTTGGGCCGAAACTAAAACACTTGGGTTATACTCAAGGGTCGAAATTCAAAAATAGCCAGATTTACAAGTGGTCATTCAAAAATAGCCACAGTTTCAAAAGTAATCGAAATTTAGCCACTTTTCATGTAAAGATAAATCTGAACCAAAATACTGTTCAAAAATACTCTAGTACATTATACTGGAGTTCCAGTATAATATACCGGTCCAGCATAATATACTGGAACTTTCTGCGTGTTGGAGTTCCAGCATAATATGCTGAAGTTCGTACTATACCTGTTAATCGTGTCGGGCTGACCCATTTTCAGCCCGCTTCAACCCGGGTCTGCCCGGTTCAGCCCGTTACTGTAGCATATTGGGCGGGCTGGGACGGGTTGGACGGGGAGCGGGTTTTAGACGAACACATTTTGGATACCGGTGCACCAGAACCCGCTAAGCCTGCTAACCCGTTAACGGGTTGTTAACAGGCTGCAACCCGGTTCAGCCCGTTAATGGGTTAAATTTTTATTTTTTTTATTTTATTTAATTTGTGTACCGTTGCTAACAAAATTTAATTAAAAAAAAAAATTTAGCACAGCCCGCCCAAGCCTGTTTAAGCCCGAACCCGTACGGGCCCACAAATACCCACAAAAACTCAACCCGCTAACAGCCCGCTATCCCCAGCCCGCCCGCTAACCGAACGGGCTGGGGTTTTTTCCGTTCAGCCCGTCCCAGCCCGCCCGATAAGCACCTATAGTTCGTACACATGTGCACCGATTTTCAGTATATTATGCTGGAACTTTCCGTGTTGCAGCAAAATAGTGACTATTTTCAATTGCTTTGCAAACTCTGACTATTTTTGAATAACCGGTCCAAAAACTGGCTAGCGCGTGCTAGTTTTACATACTCAAGCCATTGAAGCCCAAAATTTTGAATGGGCCAAAGTGAAGAAAAAAGTTTGTGGGCCAGCCCAGCCCAATTTAAGCTTGAGGCCCTTAGTAAAAAACCTACCCTCTAGATTCTTCCCCATTGTTTGTGGAAATAACACAAGTATCGTATTTGACAAATTCTGTGTTGTTTTTGGGGGAAATGAAATTTCAGAAGTTTGGGTGTCTCCCCGCTTCCTGAAAATTTTCACTCTCTTTCCCGCGATTCTCTAATTTTTCTTCCCTCCTCTTTCTATTTACACTCTCTCAGTATAAAGTTTATCTCTATTTCTCTAGTCAAAACTTTCGAGGTCCTTTTCGTCCATCGGGTATGCAATATTTTCTTATGCATTATCAATATGTTTCCTGGTTGTGCTTTTGATTTGTATGGGTTTTGAAATTTTGAAGCTTTCGGATTGCTAGTCTCGACTATAACAGTGTTTTTGTATCAATCAATGTTAGTAGTTTTCATTTCAATGTGTGCTCGCTTATTAGGGTTTATTATGTAGTATTAGGTTTAGGGTTTCTTGATATGCGCATTCTGTTTCCCTCAGCATCTTAAAATTGTGTATACTTAGTTGACTCGTTATTTGATTTTGACCAAATGCATCTTTTTAAGTTATTGCTTCACTTTGTTTCATTTCGGTAACTATGAGTTGCTCTGTTTTAAAGTTATCAAGTTAAAAATGTTCATGTATGATAGCAGCTCGAGAACTTGTGTGTGACAGCAAAAGCAAAATTTTAGATTCCGGATGATATTAGTAAATTTTGGTAGTACTGATCAAATTTTGTTTGATCAGGCACAGAACATATCTAACTTTGGGCAGTATGTAGGGGTGGCAAACAAGCATGTCGGGTCGGATATGCGTGGATCGAAAACGGTTAATGTAAAAACGGATAAATTATCCGGCCCGACCCATATTTAATGCAGATAGAAAATGGTTAATTGGCGGATAATATTGATATCCATATTATCTATGGCTTCTTGAATATGATCACTTTTGAGAGAATTCCTAGTCTTCCCAAACTTGAGGAACCCCCAATTCGAGTCTTTGCAAAGTTATACACATTGGTTATCCGTTGGTTATCCATTTTTTAAGTTGATAATATGGATCTAATTCTTATTCGATCCATTTTTAGAAACCCATTTTTAGTGAATAATATGGATAGATAACTGTTTTTTAATCCATTTTGCCACCACTAGCACTATGTAACCTTCTTTATTAAGAAAATCAAATCTATATCAGTCTATCGGAGATTTAATAAACTTCCACCGAAGTTGATTATAAAGGTGAAAGAAAGTATAAAAGTTGATTATAAAGGTGAAAGAAAGTATTCAACTGCTAGTCAACTCTGAGAGAAACAGATGACAAATGAGTCAGATTACAGTTTGATGCTAAGGTGTCTAGCTCTTTGCCAGCCCCTGAAGTCTCTCTCTCTCTCTCTTTCTTCCTTGTTTTGCTAGTGATTTCCCAAGTCTTCGCTGCTGCTATTTCGATTTACAATTGACAATGGTGCTCAAGATAGTGCTGTGTTGCTACTCCAGTTCACTGTTTATCACTTGGGAAATCTTACCTGCGTTCATTTCCTTTTAAAACTAAACTTTAGTTTATTGAGTTTTCTATAAAATTCTGATTGCTCTATTGTAAAAGTATCATTCTAGAATCTTCCGCTATGGTGTTTAAGTGGTATTCCGTTTTATATCTATAGAGCACGTTGTTGGGTGTTAAGCTGGGGGGTTGGAGAATTTATTTTATAGTTATCTGGCATTATAGAATGGTCTTGTAAAATTTCCAATGGTGCTTCATTTTCTACTTGTTTTTTCAATGGTTGCTCTTTCTTGTAGCGCTTAGCTGTATGTCTTATAGCCCGTTTGGCCAAGCTGCAAAAATCAGCTTATTTTGAGAAGTGCTTTTTTTCAAAAGTGCTTTTCTCAAAAGTACTTTTGGTGAGAAGCAGTTTGTGTTTGGCCAACTAGTTCGAAAAGCACTTCTGAGCAGCAATTAGTGTTTGGCCAAGCTTTAAAAAACTGTTTCTAAGTGTATTTTTCTCAAAAGTGCTTCTCAAAAAAGTGCTTTTGGAGAGAAGCTACTTTTTTTTGCTTCTCCAAAACTGCTTCTGCTTCTCCTCAAAAGCACTTTTTTTCCTTCCAAAAGCTTGGCCAAACACCTCAATTTTTGGCCAAAAGTGCTTTTGGCAAAAAAAAGAGTCCTATTCTTCTCCTTGGGTTATGAAATAATTCAATAGCTCCGGGCTCCCACTTTTGGCCAAAAAGAAGCTTGGCCAAACAAGCTATTAGAGTTTGTTCATTCATTCCTGGAATCAATCATTGTGTGCATATGACTTCATGGGATCAATTGAATTATTTTCAATTCCATGCTATCTTTTGTTTATTTTTTCTTTTTTCCTTTATTGGGGAAAGAATGAAAATCATCTATATTTTGATGTAGGATTTGATAATTTTTGTATACGCTTCATCTCTCTCTGGGTTGTGTTATCAATCACTTTCTTGCTTGGCTGCTCCAATGCTCATAAGTTGCAACTAAGGTGAAGTTCCTTTCTCGTTTTTTTCTTTTAGGTGTGTGTGACCTAGAGCTGTTACTACACGGTGTAGTAATTTGTAAAGGCATTTTTATCTGTGTGCTGTTGCAAAAAAGATAGCAATTTTTCTTCTTAACTGCTGATTAGTGTTGCTTTGCTGCTGAATGGACAGACATTTTCCTTTTTCTTTTTTGGACAGGTATGCAGAGTTGAGAATGACAAATATAAGTTGGACACTTGTGTGCCTTACAGGTTAATATATTAGTAATTAGGACTTGTGATGGAGTGCAACAGAGATGAAGCCCTGAGGGCTAAAGAGCTTGCTGAGAAGAAAATGCAGAGTAATGACTTTCTAGGGGCTCAAAAGGTTGCATTGAAAGCTGAGCGGCTTTACCCTCAACTAGAGAACATATCCCAACTACTTGCTGTTTGCAATGTTCACTGTTCAGCTCAGAGCAGTAAAGTGGGATCAGAAAAGGACTGGTATGGGATCCTCCAAATTGATATGATGGCTGACGAAGTGACCATCAAGAAACAATACCGGAGACTAGCGCTTGTGCTTCATCCTGACAAGAACAAGTTTCCAGGTGCAGAAGCAGCTTTCAAGCTAATTGGGGAAGCAAATATGCTGCTTTCTGACCCAGCGAAAAGGGCTTTGTATGATAGTAAGTACAGGTTTTTATCCAAAGGTACAACAGCAAAGCGACCACCTCATCAAGTTAATCAAAATCCTTCGGCTAGACAAAATGATATTCCTAATGGTGTTAGTACTCAGTTTGGTAATCTGAATAATCATCAACAAACACAACCAACTTCATCAGCTGTGCCACTAACTTTCTGGACGGGATGTCCCTTTTGCAATATTAGGTACCAGTACTACAGGAATTTTGTGAACAAAGCTTTACGCTGCCAGAAATGCTCAAAGCCTTTTATTGCATATGATTTAGGTTCTCAAGGTGCACCTCAATGGAGTCATCCTGGCAGTCAAGATGCGCACCTTAGGTCTAATATGAGCCAGCCTTTTCAGCAGAAAGAGGTTCCCAACCACAGAATGGCAGACGGAGTTGGCTTTACACCTGTCCAAATGGGATCTCAAAAGAGCCCTAGCAGTAGAAGAATGGGATCACAACCAGAGGTCTGCAGAGAAAAGACTGCTCAGGTATTTGAGGATATAAAGGCTAAACAGAAGGACGGAAAGTATGACAAGGAAATGGGTTGTGTGAATGAAGGGGCTGCTATGCCAAAGGTTAATAAAAAAAACAGGAAAAGGGGTAGGAAGCAGACAGTTGAATCAAGTGAGAGCATTGATACTACAAGCAGCACCGAGCCTGAAACTGAAGACTTTGAGTCTGGTAGCTATCCACCGGCTGGAGAAGGTGGCCGTAGGAGGTCTGCTCGCCTACGGCAGAATATCTCCTATAATGAAGGTGCAAGTGATGGCGAGAATGATTTGGCAAGCCCTCTGAAGAAGGTATGGGCTAACCAATCACGTGGAGATGATACATCAAAGCAGAAAGAAGTTGTGAGTGATGATGACTTAAAGCATGCCAATCCTACTGGTTTCCATAGTAATTCCAAGGCAAAAGGTACTCGAAATGGAACAGCCCCTCCCGAAGCAAACATGCAAGACAAAAATGCCAACAGTGGGAAAGTTGACGAACGGGCTGCTGGACCTCCATCAAGTAAGGTAGAAAAAGTTGAAGTCATTGATTCTGATTCAGAACCTGATACAGAAACCTGCGATGATCCTCCAGAGTTATTTGACTGCCCTGATCCAGAGTTTAATGATTTCGATAAACACAGGGAAGAAAGTTGTTTTTCTGTTGACCAAACCTGGGCTTGTTATGATTCAGCTGATGGCATGCCTAGATTCTATTGTCTGATCAGGAAGATACTTTCCCCTAAATTTGAGTTACGGATTACTTGGCTCGAGGCTGATCCAGAAGATCCCTACACGGAGTGGCTAGAGGAAGGCCTGCCTGCTGGTTGTGGGAAATTTAAACGAGGGAATTCTCAAAACACTAACGATCGTCCTACATTCTCTCATCTGGTGCAGTGCGAAAAGGGTAAGAAAGGTGTATTCATTGTATATCCTAGGAAAGGGGAGACATGGGCTCTTTTTAAAGATTGGGATATTGGTTGGAGCTCTGACCCAGAAAACCATAGGAAGTACCAGTATGAAATTGTGGAGGTTCTTTCTGATTTTGTCAAGGATGTTGGTATAAAAGTAAATTACCTGGATAAAGTGGTTGGATTTGTTAGCCTTTTCCAGTCTACCAGCCAAAAGAAGGCTGGCTTATTTTTTGTAAAGCCAAACGAACTTTACAAGTTCTCTCATCGAATCCCATCATTCAGAATGACTGGAACTGAAAAGGAGGGTGTACCTGTGGGATCGTTTGAACTTGATCCTGCTGCTTTACCTCTTAATCCAGATGACATTTGGTACCCTGGGAAAGTGATTTCAGACAGCACAAGTGCAAAATCTGAATCGGAGAAAGTGACAACACCTAAGAAGTCAGTGGACTGGAAAGGAATAGGTGCTACTGATGGAGAGTCATCTAAGGTTCGAAGATCTCCCAGGGGAATGAATATCTCCATGACTAGAAAATTGTAGACGTGACACATTCTTTTCTTCTGCTTTGCAGGCTCAGTGAAGCTTTCATTTGGCTAGATTCGTGGATTTTGTCATCAGTATAACTTTTAGGGATACCAGTAGGATTAAGGGAAGAGTTGGTGCTGGCCTGAACTCTTTTTTGACTTCAGTATATGTTTCCCACAACTCTTATTGCTAATGTATGTCCTTTTGTGTAGTTTTGCTGAACCAATGGTATCTTCGGAACGTTTTGTGAGACGGATTAAGGATATTGAATTTGAACAAAACTGACATCATGGATTTATTACTCATCTCTTTCCCGGGAAACAGAACTTGCAAAGTGTTTAGTCCACTTGTGTTCTTGTTAAGTAAGAGATATCTGGCGTTTCTATCTGCATTTTTTTTTTTTTTTTTTTTTTTTTTGTTTTTTGTTGTTTGTGAAGTCATTACTAGAAAACATTAATGTGACAATAAGAAATAGGCCCTTGAAAGAGTAAGTTATTGACTCAAAATCCAGGCAGGTCAAAGGTCATTTAAAAGAAGAATTATAGGTTGATTCTGGATCATCTTACATTGAACATTTAACAAACTGACCAGTGACAGAAGGGCCTGACAGGATCATAAATACAGAGACGGCAAACAGTGCTGTCCACGCACTTGTTTCCTGTCAGGTTAAGCAGCTGTTTGATACTACCTTACAAGTGATTTCTCCTCAATATCAAAATTCGTCACTTTGCTTCTTTCTGCGTTTTATTTGACCCGAACGAGTCAGGAAGTGGTAATATTCAACTACAACCGATTTTATGGAATATGATGTCAGATATTTTATAAATCAGGATTAGTTTTGACTTTCGAGAGACCAGGAAATTGAAATTCCACATTCCGCTCAATTTATAGGGGCTTTTGCATCTATACCCGGTTTTAGGGTCACAATTGGTACCCACTTTACGATCAACTTCAGACTTTTTGGGTTTGAAGTTAAAAAAAGTTAATTTGAAGTAAAAAGTTGCACTTCAAATGCATATAAGTCCAATAAGTCTGAAGTAAAAATTACACTTCAGATTTACTTAAGGCCAAAAAATATGAAGTGCAACAAACGTTTTCATCATCTTAAGACTAATAAGTTTAAAGTGAAAATTTGCACTTCAGATGCACTTAAGGCCAAATAGGTCTGAAGTGTAACCAATAGTTTCATACATTTAAGGCCAATAAGTCTGAAGTAAAAGATTACACTTCAGATGCACTTAGGGCCAAAAGATCTGAAGTGCAACAAGCGTTTTGCTACACTTAAGGCCAATAAGTCTAAAGTGAAAAATTACGCTTCAGATGCACTTAAGGCCAAAAGGTCTGAAGTGCAACAAAAGTTTTGCTACACTTCAGACCAATAAGTATGAAGTGAAAAATTGCACTTCATATGCACTTAAGACCAAAAGGTCTGAAGTGCAACCAACGTTTTTATGCACTTAACTGAAGTGCAAATCGTCCAAAAATAGAAATTTGTTCTTTGAATTATAACAATCCAATATACGATTTAATACCTGAATCTACTCCAAATGAGCTCAAATTTGAAACATAACCTCCAAATATCATCAGGAACAAACCCCAATCATCAATTTGTCAAAACAATAATAAATCTAATGAACCCATTTTGCAATTAAGAAAAAGAAGAAGAAGAAATCTTAAGCAATAGTAAAATATAAAGCGTCATAACAACTCACCATTGTAAAACAACATAAACTATATTAAAATATGTTCACAACCACCATATAAAATCATTGTCACCCTAAGAAGAAGAAGAAGAAGGAGGAGGAGGAGGATAAAGAGGCCTAAAATTGTTTAAAGGGGGAGGAGAAGAAGAAGGAGGAGGAGGAGAAAGAGGCATGAAGTTGTTTAAAAAGTGGGTACAAGTTAAAATTTTTTTAAAAAGTGAGTATAGATTAAATAGGGGCGACCAATTGATGATTGAATTGGGGGCATTTGCATCTATACCCGCTTTTTGAGTCACGTTTTAACTTGTACCCGCTTTGCAAAAAAAAAATTGCAAGCGTACCCACTTTTTCGCGTAACTTCAGCATATTGGCCTGAAGTAGCAAAGGCAATCACGCAAACTTCAGCATTCTAGTAGACGGGCCTGAAGTAGCAAAAATTGTTGAACCAAGTGTGCTGGAGTTTTTGTTTGTAATTGATGAACTTAAGCATTCTAGTGCTGAAGTTTTGTTCTCTATTTGCTGAAGTTTTTATTTGTAATTGCTGAACTTAAGCATTCTAGTAGCTGAAGTTTTGTGATGCTGAAGTTATTTAGTTCATTTGTAAAAACTTCAGCACTAAATAAGCTGAAGTTTTTTTGTCCTGGATTCATTAGTTTTGTCATTAAGCTTTTTCAAAAACTTCAGCAGAAGATGCTGAAGTTATTTAGTTTATTTGTAAAACCTTCAACACTAAATAAGCTGAAGTTTTTTTGTCCTGGATTCATTAATTTTGATATAAAGCTTTTTCAAAAACTTCAGCATAAGATGCTGAAGTTATTTAGTTCATTTGTAAGAACTTCAGCATTAAATTAGCTGAAATTTTTTGTCCTGGATTCATTAGTTTTGTCATAAAGCTTTTCAAAAACTTCAGTAGAAGATGCTGAAGTTATTTAGTTCATTTGTAAAAACTTCAGCACTATATAAGCTGAAGTTTTTGAAAAAGCTTTCTAACATACTAGATAAATAATCACCTTATTCTTTCATAGTGTATTACTACTATAAAATAATCAGATTGCAACAGTATCTAAATCATAAATTTTGGAAACAATAAACGTGAAAAGAACAGAATTATCATGAAAAGAATCACTAAGTGTGACCTTAAACTTCCCGTACGTGAAAATATTCACAAATTATTGTCTACTAACTTACGTAATTATTTATAATTTGTTTTTAAATAATATGATAAATATACTTATGGCAATCATCACATGAAATGAAGTTTCATAGCAGCACCAACAGCAACAGAAGAAAGAAGAAGAAGAAGAAGAAAACGAAGGAGGAGAAGGAGGAGGAGAAAGGGGACTGAAGTTGTTTAAAAAGTGGGGATAAGTTAAAACTTTTAAAAAAAAATGGGTATAGGTTAAATGGGGGCGACCAAATAGGGCGTCCGTACAATTTTTACATTGAATTGAGTTGAATTTTTTTTGTCATGCTCGTTTGTGGATGTATTAGTTTCGGTTGAAACTAGTTGTAGTAAATGAGCTTGTTGGGTTAGATTTTGGCGGGTTAAAGTGCATTGATTCATATTATGTAGGTTATTTTCGGACAAATTACTTTTTTTTTAGCTATATTTAATTTAATAATTAGTCACCAATTTATTGTGTTACTAGATATCCACTATTGTGTATTAGTGAGTGTAGTTTTTATTCTACTTACGATTAATTCATGTTAAACACATAGCAAAAGGCCTCTTTTCTTTTTCGGTTTTCCTTTCACAGGCCAAGATAGTAATAAACATCAAACACTTGAAACAATGGACCAATTACTTAAGCATCTTTGCTCGACAAAAACTTTGTATACAATATTCTCTCTAAATAAATACTAAAGATAAGTTTATATACTAATTTTTTCGTGAAAACATTAAACTGATGTGTTTGATAATCTACGAAAACCGATCATAGCACTGTTTGACCCAAAAGTAGTTTAATACTTTCTAAGCAAATCAATCAATGTAGAAGAAGGGATAAATCGTAGTTTGAAGATAATAAACTCTAGGATGATCTTGAATATAGAATCAGATGACAATAATGTGAACAAGATTAATGAGAGAAGGTGATAAACTTTGAAAGATAAGAGAGAGATGATGTTAGAGAGAGAGAATGTATTTCCAGTAGTCAAAAATCCTCCCTCTTTACAAGGCTTGGATCCTCTTTATATAATAGAGGATCCTTGCTCGAATATTAAAAGGTAGAAAATAAAGTACATGCTATGGAGTGGCCGACGTGATCATGAAGTTGTCCCTCTTGTTGCTCATAGGTCTCCCTTCTAGCCGGACTTGCGCATACTCGGTCGGTCGTGCTGGCTTGAAGAACGTGGTCGGTCAAATTCGACCCCATACAGTTAGTCCCTCCGCTCGTCGGGGTCGCAACGAATGCGTCCTCGAAGGGCGGAATCGATACNGTCGGATTTCCTTGTTTCTACCCTGATCGCCCCGGCGTGAGCTTTCACGAAGGCATCGGCTAACATGGCGAACGAATCGATGGAATTTGGCGGTAAGTTATGATACCACGTCATTGCCCCCTTGGACAAGGTTTCTCCAAACTTTTTCAACAAAACTGACTCAATTTCATCATCTTCGAGATCGTTTCCCTTAATCGCGCATGTGTATGCTGTCACATGCTCGTTTGGATCCGAGGTCCCATTATACTTCGGGATATCGGGCATTCTAAATTTCTTAGGGATAGGTTTTGGGGCGGCACTGGATGGGAACGGTTTTTGTACAAACTTTTTAGCGTCAAGGCCTTTCAGGACCGGAGGTGCACCTGGTATTTGGTCGACCCTGGAGTTGTATGTTTCTACTTTTTTATTGTTGGCCTCGATCTTTTCCTCCCCCTTTTCGATTCGTTCGGTCAATTCTTCTAGCCTCCTAAGAACCGCAGAATCAGCATCCGGCCACCCCGTTCCGGCTGTACTGGGGTCGGATTGATGATTGCAGCTGCACGGGGAGCCTCCTCGGACCTGACAGGCTCCTGGACCCGGCTCTGGAGCTGAGCTATAGCCGATTGCTGGGCTTGCAGCATGTCAAAAATCATTTTAAGGTTGATAGTCTCTTCGCCGACTGCCTGGGCCCTCGAATCGTCCTCTCCCCGGACGCTATGCGATGATCCGGAGGCCTGATCAGTGTTGAGCGCCATCCGGGAACCGGCATCTATCGGGTTTTCGAGCCCGGGCATTCCATTGTTTCCTGTCTGCTGTTCAAGTTCGTTGTTGATTGATTGTGCCATTCTATGAGTTGGCAATTTGAATGTAAGATGGACTCTTTTGCAAAGAACCAGTGTATTGTGATGTGTCAAGAAAGAGTATCAAAGAGCTCACTAATATCCTTAGCCCCACGGTGGGCGCCAAACTGTTTACCCTAGAATCCGGATAACAACTGAATTTATATGAGGTTTTAAGGATCCGTGAACTAAAAGATACAAAAGGTTTAGGTTGAGGAAAATAAAGATAAAGACTCAACAATTGCTGTTAAAGTAAATAATCGCAGAATATAATATTGCTTAGAACAATTGTGCTTGATAGCGTACAAGAATTTAGAGAGATGGTACTGTAGTGTAATGGTTTTT